CTCCGAAGAAACGGGACAGACCTCTGAGCAGCCAAGGGTTAGATTTGCCGAGCAGAAGAAGAAAACTAGACCTAGTCTACAAAGAACAACCTACTGTTCGCAAGTCAAAAGAACGGTTCAAACCCAAAGGGAAGGTTGACCGGAGAAGCCTCTCTGACAATGAATGCTGCCTTAACAGCAATTTCAATGAGAAAGCATTTACTCCTTATGCGTCCAAGAGGGAGCGACTTTGCTCAAGATGTGTAGTGAAGAGCAGGACCAGTACTTCGGCTGCTCCAGGACCCGATGGTCACACCTTCAAAAGAAAAGCTGCTCTTTTCCAACAGTGGAATGATTCACTCCTGCCAACATGTGAATCCTGTAAATCTCAACCCAGGAAACAGCTGATAAGAAAAGGTTCTGGTCTTGATGTCTGTGGCCCTCATCATGGACACTACAGTGAGGGAGAGTCTTTTGAGAACGACTCATTTCGCTTCGGCTCAAACTGGAGGCCGGCTCCTCCCAGGAAGCTCAACGATCTCAAGAGGCCGCTGGCTTCAAAGCAAAATGTTGAGAAAGGTCCTACAGTGATGGACCCAAACCTGAAGGAGAAGAACTGTGTGTGCAATGAGCCGCAGGACCAGTTTGCTGCATGGGAGAGGCTGCACCACTGTCCCCACGGCAACGCCATCCAGGAAATGGATGAGAACTGTGCAATGCCGGTTTCCCTCCAGGACAAATGGAGGATAATGGATCAGATGTACCCAACGCATAGGGGGCCAACTGGTAAGCAAATGCATTTGACCTCAGGAAGGTTAACCCTTCACATGTTGTCATATAACTCACTTTTCTCTGTAACTGTACGACTTCTTATTTGACAGATAAGGCATGGAAAGCAGTGCTGCCAAACGCTGACATTGATCGCTTCAAGAATGAAGCAAGATCACCATATTTTAATAAACACAAGAAATCACAATCACAAGGTTAGTTTTTGGCATTTATCTTGAGGGGGAGAGCATGAACAACTGCACTAAATGGCATTTAGCAGATCCCCTTCTTTTTTCTGAGTATTTTATTATCTGCTCTGTCTGAGAAGCCTTTATCCTTCCAGTAGAGTAATATACACCATTTTGTCTTCCATTTAATATAGATTGTCATGCCTCATAACCCCATGAAAGTTGCACGAGCACGCTTTATTCAAGTTGCCGTTTCAATAATTCAATTATGCACAAATGAAATGCATAACATTTTGTTTTTCTCTCCACAGGAAATTGTAGAAAAGACACAAGATGCTGATTTGCACGAGAGCACAATTCAACAAAGTGAGAAACTCGCTTTAAAAGAAAATGTCACTTAAATTATTCCCACTTGAATGAATTCTATTATAAATCACAATGTTCACTATTTATTACGATTTAAATAAACACAGATTTTTGATACTAATTGTATATTTCAATTTTTCCACCTGCTTCATCAATGTGTTGGGGTATGAGATGTAGTAACCTAATTTGTCCACTAGATGGAACTATTTTCCACAATATATTGTAATTGTAAAAAGAATCCATCAGGTGATGAACTATTGAAAAATTATTTATTTATTTTCTACACGTTAACTTAAGGAAATGTACCATGTATTATTACAGGGAATTTGGAATGCATTTAAATAGAAATTATTTATACAAAAGTCAGATTTAAATGTTATTTGGAGCAACCTGATCATATATTTCCCTAAAAAGACACATCTTCCTTTTGGTCAATTAGAACAAACCAATTTCCTCTCCGAAAAGAACATCTGACAGTTTTCATCTTGTGATTCATTATTAACATGCCACTGTGGTCCCTTATTTGCATAAGACCTTTTAACTGACAGTGTTATCTAACTTTCAGTCAACATTAATGTGTTTCATCATGAGTCACTGGTGGTCTCATTGTGGGTCTCTGGTGGTTTCAAAGCTGTGGCATTTTGATAACAGATTTTATAGCCTCTAACTTACAGCTTCTCTTAGTGATGCTGGTAGCTTAACTGTTGACGGTAACTAACGGCATAATCCTGATCAAATTCATATATATTTTAAAAGTTTACTTCAGCTTTGTTTGTATAATGTGTGCTGGAATGCTCGGAGGTCAGAAGTTGGGAATTTGGAAAAATAACCCCTTCTGCTACTGAACTTGGGAGATTTTTTTGGTGAAGAAAAAACACTTATGGAACGTGTGCATGGATAAAATAGTGAGGATTGCAACTGCTAAACCTCAGTGTACTTTCATTGTAAAAAAAAATGTGCATGCTGACATTAAGGTGCAGCTGTGGCTGAATACAGCCTCCAATGACTCTTAGTCCTGTTTCTGATAACGTCAGCTATAACTGGTTCTTAGTGTGAAAACAAAGGTTTGTGCACTATTGAATTAATAGTCAAAAAGGACATTAGTCATAGTATTGTGTTGAGGCGACTGTGAACCCCATTATTGACTGATAATACATTATGTAATGTTGCACCCGAAGGGAAAAAAAATACACAAATGTGTTGAATAAATAATGAATTGTGGGCCAGACCATTAGAGTGTATACAATGTTCAGCAGGCCTTTCAGATCAGGTAATGAAACCAATTTTAATGAAATTGTTTCAAAGGACACATGTAATGACATGTGCAGCAATAATAGCTTTTCTGGCTGCAGGGGAGGTAAACACCATGACTGAGTGTATGTTGCCGTCAGCTCATGTGGGATACGATGAGTGTGTGTGATTTCCAGGGTCTCACAACAGGGCCCACTATTGCTGGCTTGGCCTCTCAGATTGCTTTTGCTTTCTCCTCATCCTCCATGGAGAGATCTGCACCGAAAGCCCACACAATGCACAGCCTTCAAAGAGAATAAAGGCTCGCTTTTGTGCATTGTTTGAAACAGAGACGGACGAAAAAAGCTTTTGTAATTTGAAACAACCCTTTTAAAGTGATTTCTGGCAAACGGAGAGGAGAGGCTCTCTGAAGCTAACAGTGTGTTTGGTGAGGGAGGCCAGATGGGATGAGGAAAGTTTCAGCACTGAAGCGCAACACATGATTTCCCTTCTGATTTGTCAGTTTCAACGAGGAGATGGACAGAGCTCATATCTTGTAGACTCCTTCGTCCTGCTGCCGTTCCATCTTCATGACGCCTGCATTATGGGTAAATGTGAAAAGCTTCAGTGTGATTGGCTCCCTGGGGGATTTACAGTATGAGGTGGTAGGATGTCTGATATGCTGTGTGTATCACATAAAGCCTGAGGAGGCACATATATCTTATAGAACGACATAAACAGGCATGTCTCTAGATGAAACATACTGCAGTTATGATTTCCCTTTACAGAGAGTTGATATATTCTAATCTAATGTATGAACTCAACATGTAGGCCACACTTAAGGATAGAAAGATGAAACAGCACAAATACAAACATTTATTTTTTTATAAATCCTAAACCATAACAAAAACATATTTCCTACTTACCCCTTACATTATTTGGGTAGAAAATTGTTTGAATTATATTTTTTGAAGGCTTATGATTAATTGACTGCCTTTCAGCAACATTCTGTAAATTGTGGGATTTAATTGTGATTGACAGAGAAAGCTCTGCCTGTTGCTAAAGTAACGCTAACTGCTAGCCACCTTTAGCTAATTAGCTGTTAGCTCAATGAGATGGGCTGTAAGGAGGACGAACATAATGTAGGCTCATCATAAGAAATATGTCAACTTTTTTACTTCAGCAATGTGTATGTAAGTCAATTGAAACTGTAGGGGCGTTTCATCACACAAATACAGAAAACCTACAATACTTTATTTTAAAGGTAGATATGTAGTCAGATTCGTGTCAATATTCTAGCGCGCAAAACAAGCTACTCACGAGCGGAAAATGTGCTTTTACACGCGCATGAAATGACCCTCGCGCGCAGATTAAACCCCCGCGAGCAGAGAATATGGAGTCAGATTTGGGTCAATATTCTAGCGCGCAAAACAAGCTACTCACAAGCGGAAAATGTGCTTTTACACGCGCATGAAATGACCCTCGCGCGCAGCTGCAGCGTCGGAGGCGGCAGATACAGACTAGTAGATACAGACAAGTAGATACAGACTTCTAGTTGTTTTGCAACATCGCCCCCTAGCGAATTGGATGCCCGCAAAAGTACAACAAGCGAGTATTGAGTCTCATGTATTTTGTATGTAAAAAGATAGTCTTTTATATTTGTCTTATCAAATTTGACATACAACACATAAATATATATATTGTAGTAATAATGATATCACCTTTATATATTGTAGTAATAATGATATCACCTTTACATTTAGATGTATATTTTGTTAATAAGAAAACAAAACTGTTAATTTATTTTTTGGGAGAAGGGGTGGGGTTAAATACGTGTAAACTTCTTCCCACGCCTTTTCCGATGTGTAATTAGGTAGATCATTTGTTCATATATCATGTTCACCTGGCACTCATTGTTTTCACAAGAGACATGCTGATTTTCTCCCCACACTTTATTCTGAACATGTAGAGGAATACTTGTTCCATGGAAGGCTTTGTGGACAGCATAGACTCCATTTTCAGGATCTATGCATTCACTTTGTAGGTGTGAACTTACGGTTATGTCCTTTCGTTCGGCTGAGCGCTTTCTTTCCATGTGCCTTTTCACATTTTTTTTATTTATGNATCTCCTTTCTTGGGCCTAGATCTTTCCGTGTGCAATGATGCATGTTTCTGAAGTGTTTGGCTCGAAACACCAAACAGATCATTGTAGCATCCCATGATCCCCTGATCATGGGATGCTACAATGATCTGTTTGGTGTTTCGAGCCAAACACTTCAGAAACATGCATCATTGCACACGGAAAGATCTAGGCCCAAGAAAGGAGATTATGTTGTCATGCTATGAAGTTGGGGCATCTTTGGTAATGAAACAGAATTGTGTTGCAAAGGGTTATTTTTTCTGTCCCTCTAGTTTCCATGGATTCTTCACTCATCACCGCTCGTTTTGTATTTCTGCTGTGTTTTTCAGACGAGCACTGATGTAGCAGGGTTGCAACAGTTGTGGTGCTCTCCTTCTACCTCCGATCCTCCCCGGTGTCTCACTGCATGACCTCAGACATCTGATAGATCTACGAGAGGAAACGACCCCTTCCTCACCCAGGAACCTACCCCCTGGACTCCTGACTGCGACACTCAGTAGCCATCTCCTCTTTCAACTCATCTCCAGAAGAAGGAGCAGCGCATATTTTTCCACATAGGAGTTGAACACCTCCACTTTGGTCAGTGGAGGTGTTGAAGACCTCTCCCCCCCACGCCCCCTTGTTAACCCTCTTGACTTTTAAAAAAAATAATATTCTCCCGGTTGGTTTGAGCCCGGTTCTGCCGGCCGTGTGACTTTTCAAAACTGGGGCGCGATTCATGGGATGCAACCATGTCGGATCTCAGTGAGCGCAGGCCGGTCAACACGGACTACGCTGTCTCCCTGCTGGAGCAGCTCAAGTTCTTTTACGAACAGAAATTACTGACTGATGTTGTGCTGCTGGTGGAGGACTCAGAGTTCCCGTGTCACAAGATGGTCCTGGCAACATGTAGCTCCTATTTCAGGTGAGTGCTGCAAGTGTGGAATAACTTGTGTGTGTTTGGGACTTCTGTTTTGAATGACTATTTTAGTGATGATGCTTTGTGTGGTGGGGCTCTTCTGAATTAGTCTCCTACAGTTTCAATGAATAATGCAACACGCCGTGTTTAAAGAAAGCAATTATTCCCTTCAGTGTCATTTTGACGATATGTTGTCATTATGAAGCGAGGTTGTTATGTCTGGAAGTGCTCACCTCCTACGGTTACAATGAATAATGCACAGCGTCGTAGAGCAAGTGTTATACACTCTTTACACGCAGGACTGAAAACAAGGGGATGGTGTTCCCTTGAAAGCCGGGGCTCCTTCTGCGCCAGTCATTCCGTGTCCGATGTATTTCTCACAGAACAAATGAAGCAATCTCTAACCTATAGTCGTACAGAAGCATCCCTCAAGGCCCTGAGGAGGCCTCATTTGAACGCACAACATTGCATAATGAAGTGTGTGCACTGCAGTGAATATGAGCGAGCAGCAGCCTCGGCTCTGGGAAGAGTCCATCTGTACTTGACAGGGGCTTCATTTGAACACGCCGTCTTACTCTGCGTCTAACCCCTCCCTCTCTCACTGCGCACTCACACATGCATTCCAAGAAAAGGTCCTGACAACTTGATGCCTCTCTCACACCCAGCTCTTACGCGATCTCACCCCCTGTTTCCCACACTCTCGTGATCTGGTGCGAACATGCAAAGCATTTCCCCTGCAGGGTTCAGAGGTGTCGCAGGCTGCGCTTCCTCCAAACTGCTACTCCTTCCTTTTTCTCTCTCTGTCATGCAGCCTGCGCTTCCACCTCCCCTCCCCTCGCACGCCTCCCCGCTTCAGGGAAAGAGGGGAGAGTCTGGGGAGTGCTGGTGTATGGAGGGGAAAGTCTGGTCACGTAGGTCTTGGGGAGAGATGTAGAGAAAGGGGAGGGAGGGGGTGGGGTGCAGGGTTGCGTAACACAGCCTGGAAGGTTTAGCCCCTGCTGTGAGCAAAACACAGTCACACCCCCCCAAACTCCGTGCAGGAGGACAGAGCGGTTTTGCAGGCCCATTATTGCTAGTGCGAGTGACAAAATGACAAATAATTCAGAACCTAAAGATACACCTTTTTAAGTTTCCTATACAAGAGTACAAATCACGAAAACATGTTATCTAAGGAGCTGGAAATAGTCAACATTTGGGCTTTAAAAATCCTTAGGATTAATTGATTACCTTACATGTTTGGTCATTTTCTAACAATCTGACTCTGGCAAGTGCAGCACAGAAGCATCAATGCACCAAAGACGTTGCCATAATAAATGCAAATGACCAGTTTAAGCCAATAACAGTTCTACAGATGCAAAACATTTGAGTAATAGATGCAGTAAAAAGAGGTTTAGGCAGCTCTGATGAACGACTACGTGGAAGTGCAGGCAGCCCGCATGGAACTCAAACAGAGGAGTCCAGCTGGAGACAAACTGTGCAGTAAGCCCACCAACCAGGGGGGGGGGGGTCTGTCACTTGTTGTCACTAATGAGAGAAGCTGGCTTGGTTGGGCATGCTAATCAGTGTACACCAGCTGTAAAGCATCAAAATCAGTTGTGACATCTTCAAATACAGCAGAATCCTACAATTTATTTAAGAACAAGAATCTATTAAGTATAAGTTAAAATAAGTCTTATGATGAGCCAATTTGGGCAAAACATTGTAGTTTTCTTCCTAATTCAGTAACTCTGTACTGATGGATGTTCCTTGGTGTTCCTGCAGGGCGATGTTCATGAGCGGCCTCAGTGAGAGCAAACAGACCCACGTCCACCTGAGGAACGTGGACCCACTCACCCTGCAGATCATCATCACCTACGCCTACACGGGCAACCTGGCCATCAACGACAGCACGGTGGAGCCGCTCTACGAGACCGCCTGCTTCCTACAGGTCCGTGTGAACACTTGCTGTTTTTATTCAAACACCATGTAAATCTACCTCATTAGAATACCCAATCTTCCTATTTCCATCTTTAAATGACTATGGTTGTGTCAGTCTCTACTCTTGTAGCCGTGTCCTTTGATTCAGAGTGAAATGTCTTGTCTGACTGTGGTCTCTTGTCCCCTGTTCAGGTGGAGGACGTCTTGCTGCAGTGCAGAGACTACCTTGTGAAGAAGATAAGCGCTGACAACTGCGTCCGCATGCTGAGCATCGGCGACCTCTTCAGCTGCAGCGAGCTCAAGCAGAGCGCTAAGCGTATGGTGGAGCACAAGTTCCCCATGGTGTACAGGCAGGAGGCGTTCCTTCAGCTCTCCCACGAGCTGTTGATCGACGTCCTGAGCAGCGACAACCTCAACGTGGAGAAGGAGGAGACGGTGCGCGAGGCGGCCATGCTGTGGCTGGAGTACAACATGGAGGCCCGCTCGCAGCACCTGTCCTCGGTGCTCAGTCAGATCCGCATCGACGCGCTGTCCGAGGTGACGCAGCGCGCCTGGTTCCAGGGTCTGCCACCGAACGACAAGTCCGTGGTGGTGCAGGGCCTCTACAAGTCCATGCCCAAGTTCTTCAAGCCTCGTCTAGGCATGACCAAGGAGGAGATGCTGATCTTCATGGAGGCCATGTCAGAAATGCTGGGTGACGGATATGTGATGGCTGGGGCTCTGCCTACCAGAGTAGTGTGTTACAGCCCGCAGGCGGAGAAAGTGTACAAGCTCAACAACCCCCCAGGAGACCTGCAGAAGGTGGGGACTCTCGTTACACCAGACAATGATGTGTTCATAGCCGGGGGGCAGATCCCCCTCAAAAACTCTATCACCAACCACGGCAAGAGTGGAAAGCTACAGGCGGTGTTCCGCTCTGTCGACAGCTTCTTCTGGTTCGACGCCCAGCAGAACGCCTGGGTTCCGAAAACCCCCATGCTGTGTGCCCGAATCAAGCCCTCCCTGGTCCACTGCGAGGGCTACATCTATGCAATCGGAGGAGATAACGTCGGGGGAGAGCTGAACAAGCGCACGGTGGAGCGCTACGACTGCGAGAAGGACGAGTGGAGCATGATGAGCCCCCTCCCCTACGCCTGGAACTGGAGCACCTCTGTGGTGGCGCACGACTGCATCTACGTGATGACCCACGACCTGATGTACTGCTACTTCCCCCGCGCCGACACCTGGGTGGAGATGGCCATGCGCAAGACGAGCCGCTGCTTCGCCTCCGCCGCTGCTTTCGGGGACCTCATTTTCTACATCGGCGGCCTCCACGTGGTCAGCAACTCTGGCATCCGCTTGCCCACGAGCACCATCGACGGCTCCTCCGTCACCGTGGAGATCTACGACGTCAACAAGAACGAGTGGCGCCAGGCCGCCAACATCCCTGCTAAGCGGTACTCGGACCCCTGCGTGCGGGCGGTGGTGCTGCTCAACTCGCTGTGCATCTTCATGCGCGAGACCCACATGAACGAGAGGGCCAAGTACGCGATCTACCAGTACGACATAGAGCTGGACCGCTGGTACCTGCGGCAGCCCGTGTCCGAACGCGTGCTCTGGGACCTGGGCAAAGACTTCCGCTGTGCCGTGGGGAAGCTGTACCCCTCCTGCCTGGAGGAATCCCCCTGGAAACCCCCAACCTATCTCTTCTCCCCCGACGGAGCCGAGGAGTTTGAGGTGGACGGGGAGCTGGTGACCCTCCCTCACGTATAGCTCTTAACCTCCCCTCCCCTACCTCGCTGACTGAACCAGGAATCTGTAACGCTGAGGGATGAACATGAAGGGGGGGCGGATCACTTCTCTGATATGAAAGGGTTTGACGTTCTCTCTGTTGTGGAGGGATCTCCTCACGTGCAGCCCGGATTGAAAAGATGCCCCTCTCGGAAACACAAGTAATCTGAAAAAAAATCTTCTTATTTTGTCATTTGTGACATCTGTTAGATATTATTACAAAGTCTGTCATACTGTTTCTACAATGTGATAATCTAAACGTCAACTTATTTTGTGATGATGATGATGATGCACTTAACTGGTAAACCTTCTCGGAATGACAATGGCAACTGTACCAAAATCCCCTAGCCCCCANTGATGATGATGATGATGCACTTAACTGGTAAACCTTCTCGGAATGACAATGGCAACTGTACCAAAATCCCCTAGCCCCCCCCCCTCCCCCTATCCCTTCTGATCGTGGCTTCCCCCTCCCTCTTTTTCTCTTCTCTCACCACTGATAAATGAAAACTCTGTGGAAAATCTATCTCTTAGAGTATAAGGCTTGAAAGGCTCTTGGAAAAGTTATTAGTTTGCTCCTTTGTGGAAGCAGCAGCTGTCGTTACAATGGCTCCCAAACGAGATCCACGAACAAAATGTTCCATAGAAACTTCTCAAAACAATTTAAAGCATGTTTGATATTGAGCTGGTAGTTTGTCAAATAAAATATGCAGCATAAGGTCCATCTTATGAAAATGTTCTCAACCTCACATCTCATGGCCTTTAACGCTTGAAGTCTCCTTACTTTGTTTGGTTTACTTTTTAACACGTTAACCTCTATTCTCTTCCCTTAAAACTGAGGCTACAAGAAGGTCCATAATATTTCCAGTATGTAGACTTAGTGCTAAGAGTTGTTTTGTAAAACTACTGATAAATGTTCAATATTCAACCTTTTTAAGCTACATTTTTGTCGCATAATAACAATTAAAACATCTGTGTGGCAACTCAGCAAAGAGGATGCTTTAAGATATGTCTGAAAGTTGGACCTTGATGTTTGGATACATTTAAGCAGAGCTGCTTCTAAACCGTATTTTCATTGAAGACCGCAAGTATATTAAATAAATGAATTGTCTTTTAGTCTATAAGATGTCATTTTAAAAAGCTCAAATTGTCGACCCAACAAAATTGTATTGCTGAAGTTTTTGAACTTCACCTTTTGATATCTGTATCTTTAGTGTTCTTACGCATTTTAACTATAATCCCGTCATCACTTGAATGCAGCACTAATGTAATGATAGTGAAACCTAGCTTATATCTGCTTTGTAATTTCGATCTGCTCCAAAATATAAAATGAGTTCGATCCATTGCTTCACCCTTTTAGCAAATTCCTTAAAAATTAGGCTTGAAATTCTGTTGAAAAAACACATTGGTTGCAGCTCTGCTCAAATGAGGAAATGATTGACAGTTGTCCTTTCAGCACTGGTTCAGACATGTTAGCTGTCGGCTCCATTTAAATCCATGTTTACTACAACTACCCTCCTCCACAAATGAGCAAAATAAGTATTAGATTACCTTTTAACAAACGGGATCTGTGTTTTTCTTCTGAAGGCCCCCGCAGACGAGAGGAACAGGGGCTGTAGTTTTCGGGAGGAGGGGGAAACGAGTGAGGAGAGGATTTAAGAGTGGGTGACTGCAGGTCCGGTCACCCTCACCTCTCCTCTGTCCTCCTCCCCCACCTCTGTCTTCCACACAGCTCGCAGTTTACACCTCACTCCATCCATCGTCACATGATCATGAACATTTTGCTTTCCACGAGGGTCTCTACACAACTCCACTCTCAGTAGGTTTCGGGCTCATGCATTTTTTTTGTTTTTTCCCCCAAGCTGCTGAAATATATATATATATAATAAAATATATATTTTTCATATGTTTTAAAAGACAACTGTTTTAGTGTGGGGGGAAATAACCAGGTCTATTTTGTATTAGTGTCTTTTTTTTTAATTTAATATCAAACATTACTGTAGTGTGATTGTGGGTAGATGTCCATTTTCCTATCAGATTGAATTTTTTCTCAAGTGAAAATTGAGGAATCTTGCTGCTGATTGGTTGTGAGAAGAGAGGGCTGGCCCACGACTGTTGCTATGGAGTTCGTCCCGGCAACCACTAGCAGTAGTGGAGAGGGCAGGTTATAGTTGGGGAGGGGGAGCAGGGGTCTTCCTCCTACCTTTTTAAAAACATGAGCACAGGTGCTTCATGACAAACCTTACTAGCATGTTTGGCTGCATCATATTCCTTTGGCACTGTATTTTGAATGAACGTTAATTTATTAAAAAACATACCAAAAACGTTCCTGAAACTGACTCCCTGCTTCTTTTGTTTAGACTATTGGTGTTTATTTATTTTTTAAATGTTTAACTTTCTTTGTCAAAAAAACAATCTATCGATATTGAACTGTTTTTGATACTTAAAGATAATTTACACTCCTTGAAATGCTACTGTTAAACACAAGCATTTTTATTGGTTACCAAAACATTTAAATATTTGGACTGTGGTACATTTCTCAATAGATGTGTAGCTAATATTTGAGGTGCTTTATGGCTAAGGATACATGATGGGAAATGATTAATAGTTAAAGATTAGAACACTAAACAATACCAGTTCTGTAATGTATCAAGAAAAAACAGATACAAAATAATCTCATATATATATTTATCTAATTATCAGACGTAAGGAGAATTAATTCAAACAAAATCAGTGTGTACAAATAAATTAAATATATAAACAATCCCTCTGTCTGTACTGTGACTTTCTGCTGATCTTGCCGTGTCCTCGTGATGTTG